TGGAGAGGCTGGATAGGGAGTCCGTTGAAATCAAGGAAATGGGACGGCTCAATTCTTCCCCCACCACCATGTTTCTTCACTTCTTTAGTTTGAAATAATTTTAAACATTGAGAAAAGCTGTAAGATTAATATAAAGACCCCACGTATCCTTCACCCAGGATTCCTTACAGTTTTGCTAATAATAATTTCTGTCTTTTTTTTAGCTTTACTGAGGTATAATCGACTAATAACACCAGAAGATACTCTACGTGTACGTTGCTGTGATTTGATGCAGGTATAGACGATGACCCTTTAATGGACTTTATAGTATAGTCAAAGGAGCCAACCCAGAAAGACACATGGAGCTAGTGATCACGGGACTCCCATCCCCTTCAGCCGAGGCCCGATGCCCACGCTTCCTTTGACTGCCCTTGGAGGTTACGGACCTGTCACTTTGAGGAATGGCTTCCTATGTAGCTTCTGCTTCGTTTCCCCATGATTAGATTTGCTCTATGCACTTTGGGCAAGACCACCACAGAAGCAACGGTATGTTCCTATTGTAGCTCCTCAGGTAGCATGTGACGTCAATTTGTCCCCTTGTTGGTCATGTTTACGTTGATCACTTGATTCAGATGGTGTCTGTTAGGTTTGTTCCCTGTAAAGGTACTTTCTCCCCTTTGTAATTAATGAGTCATTTGTAGGGGAGATCTTTTAAAATCATGTAAAATCCCATTCCTCATCTCATTTCTACCCACTAGATTTAACACCCAATAGTGTTTCTCACCTGAAATTATAACTATGATGATTATATGGCAGTTTTCTTTAAAACTTTGTTTTACATTTGTTCACTGGTACTGTGCGGTAAGAACTTTCTCTTCTCCCACTTACTTATTCACTTGTTTGTTTACAGCCGTTTGGACCATGAACTTCTTTTATTTTTTTCAAGTTTATTTATTTGGAGAAAGAGAGAGAAAACGAGAGTGGGGGGAAGGGGAGAGAGAGAATCCCAAGCAGGCTCTGTGTTCAGCACAGAACCCGATACGGGGCTCTGACTCACCACCCTGAGATTGTGACCTGAGCCAATACCAAGAGTCGGACGCTTAACCGACTGAGCCACCCAAGCCCCCCAGGACTCAGGAACTTCTATTTTATTTCATGGGTTATACTTCATTGCTATCATCGTTTCTTTCACCCTCATAGTATCCCCAAATTATCCTGATGTTACCAGTGGAACCTGCTGCGAGCAGGCTTCTGTGTTCTTTCAACGTCTCTCTGTCACTCATTGAGAACTTCCATATTTTCTGTCAAAACAAGAAGTTCCAGGCTCATCTTGTTCTCTATCTGCCCCAGCCCTGTCATCAGCCATCTTCTCCAAGGAGCCCCTATTCCTTTAGTGGAGGATGGTATTTAGGCACCAAGACCCGGGCTCTGCGTGGATTGATTGCTACTGGGGTGTCACAGCTCCCAGGCGCTCTCAGTGGCTCAAACTAAGAAATCTGTGCATGTGTGTATACGCGTTGCTATGTACCGCTACCTGCACACTGAAAACCATGACTTCACACCAATGCCTCCCATTCCAATCCAGCACTGGAGCTCATTCTAGTCCAGTCTAGTTCATTCTAGCCCCCCACGCCACCCCTTGCATAACTGTACCTCCCTTCACCATCAGTGAGAAACTTGGCTCCCACTGGCCTCGATACATCAACTGATTTGCTCAATTTCCTTGTGTAGCCAATCTCCTGACCCCCCAAGGCCAGTCAAAAGCCTTCCTCATGAGGTCTCCGGTCCTTGCTGACTGTTCTCCACACACTTCAGCATCTTCCCTGTGGCTCCATTGCTACCCCACTGCCTTCCTCCATTTCCCTTTCACACATGAAATACAGCCGCCGTCTTCCTCTGGGAAACCCTCCATTGCCATCCCACAAGCACATAAAAACCCTAAGTCTTCATGCTTTCATTTGAATCTTTTCAACTCTGTTCCTCAACGATAATCACGGCAGAATGAGTTGTTTTATTTTTGCCACATTCCCTGAATTTGGGGCAAAGTATATATATATATTTTTTTAAGTTAATTATTTGCAGTCATGAAAGAATATTTGTTTTGTTTCTCGCTCTTAATTTTTTAAAAGTTTTATTTATTTAAGTAATCTCTACACCCAACATGGGGCTCGAACTCATGACCGGAGATCAAGCGTCACATGCTCTTCCAACTGAGCCAACCAGGTGCCCCTTCTTGCTCTTCATTTTAAAAATGGACCATCAGTTGGGGCGCCTGGGTGGCTCAATCGGTTAAGCATCCGACTTTGGCTCAGGTCATGATCTCACGGTCCGTGGGTTCAAGCCCCACGTCGGGCTCTGTACTGACAGCTCAGAACCTGGAGCCTGTTTCAGATTCTGTGTCTCCGTCTCTCTTTGACCGTCCTCTGCTCACGCTGTCTTTCTCTCTCAGACATAAATAAAACATTAAAAAAAAAATTTTAATGGACCATCAGCAGCATGGTGTGGGCACTTACTGGGAGCTGATTGACTGAGCTCTTGACAATTCTGCTCGAAAACTAAGCACTGCCTAACTTCTCATGGTCTTCAATGATCTTTTCTCTCATTGGAGATCTATCTATGGAAAAAGCTTTGTCTTTGATGTAACGACAAAGACTCTACTAATTTGCTTCATTCATTCGTTTATCCGCTCATTCACCACGTAGCCACTGAGGGCCGGCCATGTGTACGGCTGCTCTGCTCGTGGTGACGCGGGCCCCCGCCCTGGCTGCGCTGCTCTTCATTCCCCACCGCCTTTATTTACTGCTTGGCTGCCTCAGACTGCAAGGCTGTGTGAAGGGACGTGGGAGGAAGTAAAGGAAGTGAGTCCCAACGAGACAGCCAGCCCCCCAGAGAGGGAGGGGAACCACCCCCTCAGAGCCACTTTCCCTTCCCCTTAGGCTGGGCAGGGCAGCCAGTCACAATCCCAGGTGACCCAGCAAAAACAGTGTTTACCGGCTGGGCTCTCTCCACTCTGGCTTCTGGGGATCTTCCGGAGGGGCAGGAGGGGGACGGAAGGGGGCACCCCTCCCCCCCGCACCTACTCACTGAAACTGGGCTGGGGGCTGTTCCTCCCCTCCACGCCCCTCTCCCCATCTCCATGCCTGCCTCCAGGGCAGGTCTCTGCCTGGGGCCCGAAGCTGGAGCAGCTTTCCACCCTGCAGATCTTGAGATCATGGCCAAGGCCAAGCTTGTCTGCAGCGTGAGGCGTGGATCCTCGCTGGGCAAGGGGAGGCCCGAGCAGGGCGTGGGGCGCAGCTGCAAGTTACCTTGGGTGACTGAGATGTTATCTGGGCCTAACGGTTTCCTATGTGTAGGCACTTCCGTCCTCCTGTATTTGAAGCCAGAAGCCTGTGCCGGGGCAGCCCCTTAGCTCCCTTTCTGAGTCGAAGAGGAGGACTGCAAGATGGAGGCGGAGAGAGAAAGGCGTCATGTGTCAGGGTTAGAAGACATGGTAGGTAAGACACCATGTTCCCATCACCAGCTCGGCCCCGCTCCTTTAAAAGGAAGAAAAGAAAACAATCATAGTCACAAGTATGCACTGCAAGCTACCAGGAAATTTCCTTTCCTGCTGACGATCCTGCCCTCGAGTTCGCACCTCTGTAGCTGTGTGGCTGAAATGGAGAGGGGACTCACCATTAATTCCTAGGGGCAGGGGGCCCTTTCATTGGGCCCCAGAAGGCCCTGTTCTGGTAAGAGAAATATCTGGTCCCTACCGACTTGAGCTTGTACACAAAGTGAAGCATTGTAAAAGTAGCTACTCTTCTCACAGTGACGACTAAACCGTACAGATTGAGGAAACCGGGGATCAGAGAGGTTAAGTGACTCGTCAGAGGAAACCCAGCAAGAAAGTAGCCAAGCTAGAATACAACCCTCAATCTGTTTCTGAATTCAAGGTCTTGCCCCCGATGTTCCGTTCAGTTGGATGAACTAGAAAATGCTTTGGCATTAGGGCTGTTAGTGTTTTTATTTATTTATTTATTTTAAAAAATTTTTTAATGTTTTATTTCTAGGAGAGAGAGAGACAGCGTGAGCAGGGGAGGGTCAGAGAGAGAGGGAGACACAGACTGAAACAGGCTCCAGGCTCTGAGCTGGCAGTCAGCACAGAGCCCGATGCGGGGCTGGAACCCACGGAACCGTGAGATCATGACCTAAGAGAAAGTCGGATGCTTAACCGACTAAGCCACCCAGGCGCCCCAGGGCTGTTAGTGTTTTTAGAAAGTCAGCTTTAGAAGGTTCTGTGAGAGGAAGGTGGTCATGTTTCGAAGGCTGCCCCCGGAACCAGCAATGGAAGGGCCTGACAGACCCCGGGGGGGTGCCGGGATGTAGAGCAGAATCAGGGCAGCACTTAGTGTCAGCTAACTCTCAATTTGTTTCCTTTATGGGATTTTCCACATATCTCCCGTCACAGGGCCCCCTGTGGCCCCCTGAAGAGGGCCTTCCCAACGGGGTGCCCCGGGCGAGGCTTGGGCGTGGGGGCGGGGCAGGCCAATGCCACAGAACAGGGGGCCTCGGTCCCTGCCCGCCAATTCCTTTCCACTCACAATCCTTGCCCGGTGCCCCCTCTTCTCTGTCCTGGGAGGAGGGATCCAGAAGGGACACCTAAGGCTGCGGCCAGTACACAGGCGACTGCAGATCCCAGGGCCCACGTCCCTCCCTTGCAGCCTCCTCTTCTTCCAGCCCCTTCGCTGCCCAGAGGCCTGGGACAGCGCGGGGGGGGGGGGGGGGGGGGGCGCTGGGCCGGGTCTTCTGGGAATCGGATGTTCAGGATCTTGCCCTTTATTCTATTTAATAGGCACGGCGAAGAGGCCCTTTAGCGAGCAGCTTGGGGGAGCTGAAATTCCCACAGAATCCAGTGCATCCGCAAGTCCGGGGGAAGAAAAAGATTTCCCGTTACAGGGAACCTGAAAATCTTTGCTTGGATTTCTCACCCTCCCTCCCCACCCCCCACCCCGCCCCCTCCCCATACACAGAGGAGAGATGGATAGATTGATAGCGGCTTCCTGAAAATGTGACGATGCACGTGGAAAGGGAAAGACATGGATACACGAAAGGGGGTCCTGCCGGTTCCTCCCTGAGCCTTGGAACAGCTCCGTGCGTGCGGGGCCCTGAGGAGCACGGACGCCTCTACAGCGCTGTCGTGGGACGCCAGGAAACGCAGGTAGGACATGAATGCAATAATTAAAAGAAGAAGAAAGCAATAAGGATGCACCTAAAAGAAACAGAAAAACGCGGAGAGGAAAGGAATAAGAGAGCAAATTTAACTTTTAGGGGCAGAAACTAGCACAGGAATGGAGCGCGAGGCTGAGGAGGGCTGGGCCCCGGGCAGAGGCCAGGGGGTCCCGCAGAAACTTCTGGAGGAAGAGGGGCCAGGCGGCTGTCCCAGCCCCATGTTTGGGCAGATTAATGGAGTCGCGGCTCCCGCGCCCGAGTCCTGCCCTGGGAGGGGACAGTATCTGTTTAGATTTGCGTCTAAATTTAAACCCTGATCGCCGGCCTCCCTCCCCCGCTCCCCACCCCTTCCCCCTCCCCCGGCCTCCCCCTCCCTCGTGCTCTCGCGCAGGGCCCGGCCGCCCGCAGTCCCGAGCGAGGCAGCCGGCGCGCCGCCGCCGCCCCCTTGCCCTGCGTGCCGCAGCCCCTGCCCGGCGGGCGCGGGGAGCCGAGCGGACAGCGAGCGCGGCCGCCGCGGAGCCGGCACCTGGAGGCCATGGAGGTAACGCCCGGGCGCGGGGGGCGCAGGGGGGGCGTGGGGGGCGCCCCGGGCTCCTGGGGGACCCCGCCGGGCGGGCCGGGGCGACGGGAGCACCCCTCCGCGGGCTCCGGGTGTGGGGTCAGGGACCCCCGGGGGTCGCGCTGCAGCCGGCTTCGTAACCGGGCGAGCGCGTGGGGACAGCCTGCGGGGGCGCCGAAGCCCCTGACTCTGCAGACACGATCGGTCCCGACAGGGAAACGGAACGGGCCCCCGGGGGCCGCGGGGGGGGGCACGTCTGTGCCGGGCCCCGGGCTTCCCTTTCCCCCTGCAGCCCGTCTGGCGCGTCTTCTTGCAGAACTTTCGGAGAAGCTCCGCTCGCGGGCCGGGAAACGGCACCGTTTGCGATAACGGCGAGAGTCGCCGGTCGGTCCCCGCCTCGCGAGGCGCGCCGGCCGCACGTGGGGGGCGCGCGGCTCCGCGGGGGGCTTTCCGGGCGCGCGCGCGGCCTCGGCGGGGCCCGGGCGCCGCTCTCCGGCGCGGGGGTGCCCTCGACTTCCCCGTCCCCCCTTCTCCACGTTTCGGGGCTCCCATAGATGGCCTGACACTCAGCCCTCTGCCCGTCTTAACGGGACAGGGCTTTGGGGAAAGACGGGAGGAGGAGGTGCGCACGGGGGTGGGGAGCCCCTCGGGGGATCCCCACCCGCGTGCTGCCGGAGGGAGCTCCCGGTCGGCGACAGTGACGCCCGGCCGGTCCCTGCCCCGCGGCAGGCTCCGCGGGAGCCCGGCCGCCTCTCCGGAGCGGACTGTGTGCGGGGCCCAGGGCGTGGGCCGCACCCTCCGTGGACACTCCTGCGGATCCGGGCTGGGCGGGGTGGCCCGGCAGGCGGCGTCCGCAGCTGGGAGGCGGCGGGGTTCTCTCCGGGGGATACAGCCCCCGGGGCGCCGGCTGCTAGGCGGCTTCAGCTCAGGTCGTGACCTCAGGGTTCATGGGTTCCAGCCCCGAGTCGGGCTCTGTGCTCGGGGTTCGGAGCCTGGAGCCTGTTTCAGATCCTGTGTCTCCCCCTCTCTCTGACCCTCCCCTGCTCACGCTCTGTTTCTCTGTCCCAAAACTAAACATAATAAACAGAAACATAATAATAATAATAGTTGCCTAAGAAGGGGGTTCCCTCCTCTGGGAGAGTACAGGGGGCTCAGACCCTAGGCTGGGGGTTCAGCATGATTTAGGACCTGTCTCGTCTCTTGCAGAAATGGATTGGGGGTAAGAGCAAAGCACGCTTCAGGCTTCAAAGCATGCTGGCGCTCGAGGGCCAAATGCCTGCGTGAACTTTGTTCTGGGAAGACACAGAGGGGCCCCTTCCCGAGAGGCGCCCTCTTCTCCCTCGGCTGAGGAAGGACCTGTGCGGGGTGGAGGCCCTGAAATGCTCACCTGAGCAACTTCCTGTGTGGCTTGGGGCCTGTGGGGGAGGGGGGAGTGCCCCCCCTCCCCGGTCTCCAGAGATGATGTGTAGTTAGGAAGGGGGATCTCACCAAGATGGGGGTGTGGGGTGTGGGGTGTGGGAGGGACTGGCTCAGTCGCCCCGAAGTCTGTCAGTTTGCCAGTGATGGCTTTTGAAGTTTCTTTGTCGAAACGACTGAAAAAAGAACTCGGACTGCCAGCCCTGGAAAAGGAAGTAAAGAGGAAACCGAGGGGCTGGGGAGGTGACGGTTCTGAACCAGGAAGTAAACTTTTCATGGTGGGTCATGGTCTGCAGGAGTGGGGTGTGGGAGCTCCTGCCGCATCTCAGAGGAAAACCCTCTTCTGAGAGAGGAGACCCACTTTTGAGAGTGAAGGCACCACTTTCCTCGCGGGGGAGAAACTGAGTTACATTACTTCTCGGTATTAGGAGTTCAGGTCAGCCCAATAAGGCTGACTCAACGTTCATTCTCTAGAACCCACTTACCTATTAGAAGTCTTGGGCGAATCTTCTCTTTTTTTAAGTCACGGTTATGGTTCTTGGCAGTGTCAGTCATTACTTCAGCCCTCATTAAGCCCTCTGGAATGAGCAAGATAAAGATGTCTTTTAAAAGTCCACAGCCCAATAGGGGAAGGGAGACTTTCTAGGCCCTGTCATGGCTGCCATTTTCGGAAGAGTAAATGCCAAATGAGTGACTCCTGCAGATCATAAGTGCTACAGTATTTCGATATTTCGAGGTGAGACTTGACAGAAGCCTTGAAAGAAGGGTGGGTGGTGAGGAGGAGAGGCATAAGGAATGGGTACAGGGAGATCATGCCAGCTTTGTTCAGGAAAGTAGGCCAGTTGGCTGGAGAGGAAGGTAGGGAAGCAGTGAGAGACAAAAAATGAAAGTAATAAGATAAAAACCACAAGGCCTCCAAGTATAGTGGATGCTGGCCAAGTGGGTGAGTGGGAGCTGGAATCCAAGCCATCTGGAGGAAAGGGTTACTTTTTCTTCATACAAAGTCTCCTTGTCTCTCCGTGCCCCCCAAAGGGGTGCCTTTTTCTAATTCAGACAGAGGCCAGCTGTGGGCCTCAAAGGCCAGATAGTGGATGGGCCCGGCTTCTGCCCCATGGACAGTAGGAAACTGCTCAGCATTTAGGAAAGATGGCGGCCTAGGAAAGATGGCGGCCAGGAGGTAGTAGGAATGAAATGGCAGAAATGGCAGCTCAGAGAGTGAGCAGGGCAAGGAGGCTGAGCAGCCCCTCTGAGCGCCCACGCATATTCTGACTTCGAGACGCAGAAAGGGTGGAAGAGACGGAAGAGTAAAGACCGCGCGTGGAAGGAGAAATCAGAACTGACACTGGCGTGTGAACTCGTGAGCGTGCCCCGAAGAGGGGCGTTCTCCAAGACACCAAGGCAGCTTTCACGAACCTGTAAGCCTTTTGTAAGCAGGGCCTCTAATTGGTCTTTTGGTCTCCAGAGATTAGCACAGCGCCTAGAATTATAATCATCCCATTTCTCAAGAAGAGTTTGCTTGGTAAATGAATTAACGGAAACGGGGAACTCCTTGACCCCTCCGTCCACCCGTCCACAGCTCCAGTGTGTCCGCCTTGGGAGGTCTTCCCAGATGCCCCCCCCCCCCCCCCCCCCCCCCCCCCCCCCCCAGAGCCTTTTGCTCTTTCAGAGCACTTTGTTCGGCTGGATTCGAGGCCTAGGCCGACTTGGCACTTTCTGCCCACCTGGCTGTCTCCCTGGAAGGCCCACCAGGCAGTAAGTGCTTTTTGAACAAGCAAATAAGTGATTGAACGCGGGAGAAAGCTCGGATTTTTTCTGAAAGCAAGGTTCAGGTATATTGGTTTTGAGATGCCCAGCACTTGGTGAGAAATACAGGCCTCTTGAGATGCAAATACGGTTCTTTTTTAGAAGAGATCAGAGGTGACATCACGGTGGGTAGGAGCCCAGAAGAGAGAAGTACATGGTAAAGAAAGAGCTGGAGACTTAGGGCCTCTAAATTAAATTAATCTTCTTGGTCGTTTAAATATAAATTGTAGGCCCTCCCAAAGAGCCTGAGAGTGCTCGCAACAACTTTAATTTTTACAGACTAAATCCTTCACGTGTTCAACTAATAGTAGACACATGAAAATTAGACTTCTCTCCCACAACCGTGTGTCTGTTTCGTTGAACAAATGAAGGATTTAGTCTGAGACAATTAAACTTTATTGCCACTGAACAAACAGTGGATTTCTCACTTAGATGGAGACGGCTAATGAGCCCTTTTCTCTGAGGCAACTCCGGGTCCTTCCCAGAGACTATTTGTTACCCATCCATTTATTCAGTATTTACTGAGCATTTATTCCATCCTGAAGCTTGTATTTGAAATGTCACTCATGGGGCTGTCACCTCTTTTATTCCTGTAGGGCATCCGATGACGAGAGAGGGGGGGACAGAGTGCGTGTGTACGTGTGTGCACCTGTATATTTGACATATTCCACTTGTAACCTACGTTTTCACTGATTTTTTTTATTTCATTAAATTTTTCTTACCACAATGTCACCAACGGCCTTTGCTGGCTTCGGACCCACCCTCTCACGGAGCCGTATGTTGGCCGCTGGCTGGAGCTCCGGGGTCCCCATCGGCGAGTGCACGGGCTCTGGAAGCGGGGGGCTAGCTAGGAGGACTCGCGGGCGTGCCCATGTACCCCCGCATTCCTGTCCGGCTCCCGCGTGCTCTGCGGGACCCACAAAGTTCCACTGGCTTCCACTGAGCTGACACCTTTCATTCACGGGGCTGCAGGGACAGCCGGGCTGGAAGGGCCCAGGCCCCATCCCAGGAGGGGTGAGTGCATTCCTGGATGGAGTCGGGTTTCAGAGCCTGATCCACAGCGTGCCTCCTGGAGCGAGGGGAGCCAGAGCGCGGCTTCCGTGGGAAATCTGAACGCTGGCGGCTCAGCGGCCCAGTAATCTTATCAGGGCCACGGGGGAAAGCATCTGGGTTCCAGAGAAGTCTGCAGGCAGCCCCGCCTTCCTCTAGTAATAGCTGTAGGCTCGCAGCCAGCTTGACCACCCCTGCTCCACTCACTAGAATGGAAACATCTCGAGGCTGTGGGTGGGATGAAGCCATCTCTCGCTGCCCCCCACCCCACATCGTAAGGGAGGAAGCCGAGACGCTGAGGCTGCCGATGGACCTTTGGAAACCAACAGCTTGCAGTGTTTCTCTCTGGGGAGGAGTGCAGCGCCTAGGCCTTGAGAAGTACGATCATGAGTCTCATCACAAACGCGATCTCCACCGCGTGTCCGGCCTTCTGGGATTATACAGGCGTTTTGATCTCTGTGTGCAAAACAGGACACATGGTACTGCAGACGCAGTGCTGGGGCCTGGTGGCCGTCATCAGCCCTCCTGCTCTAAGGCTCTCCGGGAGCTCACCTCCCGAATGGACCTACCTGAGTCAGGCCAGTGAGGACACTGCCCTCCTGCCTTGTCATTAGGGCAGTAAGCACCCCATCTTCTTCTTTGGGGGGCTTCCTGAATACCTGTCTTCTGGGGATTGTGGGAAACGAGGGCTGAGCCCGCGAGGCTTCCCCGTG